ATATTTAATAATTTCTTAGTCAAACATTATTTTATTACTCAGGAACCTCAACCCCACGTGCCACTTTGTGACAGCGGGGTCTAAAAAACCTGGGGCCACCTACAATCAATTCAATGCCAACTTTACCTCCGAGAATGTCAACAAGCCTCGCTTGGATCGAACCTGGGATCAGCAACTCGCAAACCTTCACTATCGCGACAACTTTACCATTAACCTATCTTACCTTTGGTTATTAGTCAAACATTCAATTCATGTTTTAAAGCACTTTTCCTAAAATTTCATCCTACAAATGGTTTTGTAAACGTTACGGCAGCATCAAACCAGTAACTTTAGCCATATATATTTATCTACAGCCACCGTACGCTTACAGATTCCCATCGATTCGTTGAATCCATTCCAGCGGCTGGCCAAGACAGATCCCGACAACCGGAAACCCCATATTAAGCTAATGTTACGTTAGGGTGCGTTTGGATACAATGATTTGGATTTGGTATTTGTGATTTGGATTTCCAAATACCAAATTATGTGTTTGGATATTAATTACATTTGGTATTTGGATTTGTGTCAAATTCATGGGGTGATTTCCAAATACATGTCTAGTGTATTTTTTGTCAACTTCAAATTCATTTCAACAACTAGTGATTTGAAATACCTCCTAACAAAAGAATGGACCTATTTGTAAAATATGAAAAGTTTAGGTACTATAGTGTGAGGCAAAACATATAAAGGTACCAAAATGTAATTTTACCATCAAAATTTCAGGACCTTTTTGTACAATTTTAAAAGTTTAGGTACTAAATTGTAAGAAAAAATAATTTTGGGTACCAAACTGTAATTTACCAAAATTTCTAGTAAGTGACCAGAAAATTAAAAATTGAAATTGAAAATCATAAAATACAAAATACAAACAAATTACAAATGAGTATCCAAACAATGAATTTGAAATACATGTATTTCAAATGCTAATATTTCGAATACATCCATTTCAAATGCTAATATTTCAAATACCTTACATTTAAAATCCACTTATCCAAACGCACCCTTATACGATTTCGAAATGAAACTACTGCATCTCTCACTATTTAGGTCATCAAGAACGAGTTGAAGGAGCCAGCCGCTTTAGACTGCATCCAACAAGAATCGTCCAAAAAGAATGGTCCAAAACGCATTGCCCATTAAAGAAAGAAGAGCTGCTCCTGCTCGTGCCTGCAGTTTCTTCTTCTTCTTGCCTTTTTCACGAGAACGGTCAGATTAACTAATAATATATTACCAGTCCATTACGGAGAAATGAGAATGCAGTGCAGCTCTGGCTTTCTGTTGGCATATCCTCACGGCATCTTCTTGTACTGCTGATTGCTCCAACCAAAGCTCTCTTCGTCATTCTGCGACAAAAAGGAACAGCTCGTTTCTCATTTGCAGGCCTCGTTACGTTTTGATTATTATATTGGTTGACTCTCTGCATTGTCTTAAAAGAAATATAATCAATCCACTTTATTGGGGGGTGGGAGGAGGACGATTCATTGGAAGTCCTCTTGTTAGCACGCTTCGTTTATTTTATGACTATACATATATATATGTCTTGATCATAGTGTAGGTGGTAAGTAATTCAAATCCTATATACCCATTTGGATTTTATTTATATTTAATTTATACCCACATACGATTCGAGACAGTAGTAAGGTAGAATTATGATTATGTTCAATGGAGTTTTTGTTACTAATGGATGGTTTTTATATAACCATATATATATATATGCAATAGGGGGAGTCTCGTTTGTACAGTGGGAAAGCTATGGTCATCCATTACTTTTGATATTCGGTTCGAGTTAAATCCGGACCAATATCCACAATTGTTAATATTTTTGTTGCAGCAGAAAATGTATAATGTACGGGAGGCGTATGCTAGTCTGAACCACATTTCTTAATTTTTTTTAATCTGAACCATAAAACTCATTGAATCTATATAAAAAATGACGATTCTTATTCATCAAAATATATCAAAGTACATATAAAAAGTGCGAATGCGGAGGTACAAAGTATGCTAGCCTTTGCCATATATATTATCAATAATTAATTTTAGAACATTAGTTGTCAACAAATTAATGTAGGGATATTCTATATATATATATATATATATACGGGGATAATTTTTCAAAGTAGATGATACTTACTACACCAAATATGAGTGCTTTGGGGATAACCTTTTCTTTTTGTGCCTTTGACCGAAAGGGTTTCTAGTTCATTGCTGTTTTTATTTTCTTAACGAAGTTTTTGGTTCATTGGAGGAAGACGTGTGGTGCCAAAGTCCTTAAAATACAATTCCTGGTAGGGCGCATGGCATATAATTGAAGGTGACTTCTTCTGTGTTTTCTTCCATACCTTACCCAAAAAGTGAAAAGTTGTGTGCAAGTTTAGGTCAGGAACATTGTCCCTAATCACTATTTTAATCACTAATGCCATTCCCAGTTGGCGTATAACTGGATGATGACTTGTAGATTAGCAACATACATACATGACTATTTTTCGTTTAGTTGATGTGTTATAAATTAATAGTAAGTTACTGTACCGGATGGACGATCGGTTCGTCCATCGCGTAATAGTACGAACTAAAACTAAAATAAACTAAAATACTGATTTATTCTTCTTTGACTGATTAAAACGTAGAAACAAAGTACATATTTATAGTAGAACCGGAAAACCTAACCACTTATCACTTCCTACAAGGATGCGGTAACTTAACCCTAAAGAAACTACCTTTAAATAATTTAATAATTAATATGATTCCTAAACAATAACTAAAACCAACTAAAAAATAATAACAATAATAATAATATTGGCCACCGAATTTATGAATGCATCAGTACCACGAATAATATAAACAACCTATTAATACGAAATCACGAATTATAAAGAGATGTCAGAAACAAAATTTTCTACCATTCCTCATACGAATCAAAATGAAGAAGTGATCTCGAATGTTATTACTTACTACTGATTAGTTAGTACTGGATGAACTTTTTCGCGTCTCTTTTCCATAGTTATTTTTTTGTGGCCTTTTTGTTGATGATGATCTCGTTTAACTTTATAACTAGTTTGAAGTTTTGAATTAATACCGTTAAAAGATCCAAACAGCCTCATCATCATTTGGGATGGGCATAAAGGTGATGGGATGACTACAACAGCATACAAATGCTTCCCGAGTGTATTCCCAATAGGAACGGAAAGCCAAATCCACTATATTGCTATACATATACTATACATAGTTTCGACCGTTTGGTTTGGTGATAGTTAAATTGATGGATTGTCATCAATGCATGTATACTAAGATACATGTATATAAGAAAATTGGTGTATTGTAGTTTACATCGTTTGGTTTTTGTAATAGTTATTGTAGTTTTTAGTCAAGTACTCAAGTTATATTACTTTTTGGATGAAATGTCACTTTTACCCTTTACTTTTAATATAAAAAAGTAACAGACATGAAAAAGGTAGGGACATAGTTGGAAGAAAAAATAACCTAACAAACTTCACCAAACAATCTCAACAATCTCACAAAAAACTTGAGATTTAACTGTGTCAAATCAATCAAACAATGCATGTATTGTTTGTGCAGAAAATAAAAATAAAAAAAAACAATGTATTGTGAACAATATTGCATTGTAACTATCCCCACCAAACAATCACCAAAACCAAACGACCCATTAGTGTCTTGAATAGTTTGGAAATAATTCGAATGGTTGAGATAAATTTAATTATGAATCTTATATTATCCTCTTACACTATTTCATCGAAGAAAACCCAACTCATCACTGTAACTCGTCCTTAAATCAACTGTTGATTTGGAGGTCCAGATACGATCGCTTTGTCAAACCAGTTCCGATACCATGTCATAAACCGTTTGATGTCAATTAACCACTGAAACCGAACACTTGGCCCCCTAAACCCCATACTAGTTAGTACCAATCATAGAACAACTAATCATACACATTCAAAGCCATCTCAAACATATAATCATGCACATGATTGAATAAAGAATCAGCTTGTTCTTATCCAACAAACTTTGGAATTTTCCATATATGAGAGAAAGTTGGTGGGGAGAGTTGATGAATGGAAGTCAGCTAGGAAAACAGAGTAGTGAGTGAACAGAACAGAACAGAACAGAACAGCTCCTCTTCTCTAATTGTCCAGGCTAGCTAGCAAGCAGTCCATGGTGAAAGAAGGGAAGTGGTTGAGGGAATATAGATATAGACATATAGTGGTGACAAGAATTGAATTTTAATTTTCCAATTGAAGAGCCTTATCATAAGTAACCACCACCACCATCCCACTAGTCCTCTGCTTGTGCTATCCATTTCCCATAACCCTAATGAGTTCCATTCCACACTGGATGGTGGTTGGTGGCTTTGACTTTGACCCTCTCCCAACAACAGCCCCCATAAGCTCTTTTCTCTGTACTTACCACTGCAATTTGATGCTTCTGATTTCTGAAAGGAGACGCCCAATTTTCACACCGACTTGGGTTGACTTTTCACACCTCTAAAAAGCCACTTCCCACGGTCTTCTATGTTCACACTCAGGCAGGGCATTCTCATCGCTCAAACCTAGCATTGACCCATTTTGTCCAAAAGTCGTCCCTTGAAAAGTGAAAACAACAACAACTCCCACTTGTACGCCGATTTCTATAATTCTCGGGTTGACCCAAAGTTCTCAAGGACAAAACATGTGGTGGCAGTGTGTTGGGTGTTCCAGGGGTGGGTGGGTCTGTTCTACGAGATTGTTCGCACTTGGTTATGAACTTTCATCATAGCGTTCTTTGTTACCTGTGATTTTTGCGACTATGAATTAGATTGCTTGTAAAGTAATAAGAAAAGCTCTTTACTTTGTCGTTTTTAGAGTTGTGAGGTCGAAATTGACGAGATGAATAATAGATTACTATCGTATCTAACAAAATATCAAGTGGTTTTGTGCTACCAAATTTAAGTACAAGTGGGTAACCTAGAGCTAAAGAAAATATCTAAGCTCTTTGATACTGTTGAAGATTGTTGTTAGTCTATGGTTGTGTTCAAAGTGACATAATAATGGGATTCCTCTGTTTCGACCAAAACAGAGCACTATCCCAAAATTGGGCATATTGGGTTTGTCCTCTTTGCAGCTGTTAGCTTGATTAGTACGAACGGGGAAAGAAATGATGCAGGTAAGGGGAAGGGAAGGATCGAGCAAACAATATTTTTTCAGAGAATCTGAAGTATCATTAATGTTACTATTTTCATCAACTTCCTTCACTACTACAAAACCATCATAATCATCTCCTCTACTACTAATGGCAACAACAACGTTTTCAATGGAGTCAAAATCTAATCCCGCCGCCGGCGGCGACTCTTCGTCGGAATCCGACCTTCCAAACTCCCCCCCCTGATCCAAATTGAGGATCGCAGTATCCCAGAACGGAGATGCTGCATCTTGTTCTTCAACAGATGATTCGTCGTCCAAGAACATGCCATCGGTTTCCTCGGATTCGTTACTTCGAACCGTGATCCAATCGCCCTCTTCTTCCGAACTCCAATCAGAGAAATTCGATGCTGAAGAAAACCCACTGATCAAGCTCTTGATCCTATCACCGGGTGGAATTCTCGAGCAGCGGACTTCATCGATCGTCAGATTTTGCGGGCTGTCCAATCCGCCGTCCAAGGAATCCCAAAACCCCTGATCCAGCACGCAGCTCGGCGAGCTCGTCCCGGCCTCCTTTTTGAATTCATCAACCGACAGATCCAGCTCCGATTCGTGGAGAAACGGGTGATCCAGAAGCTCTTTAGCACTCCACCGCTCTCTGGGGTTTTTCATCAAACACTTGGCGACAAAATCCGCTGCTTCCTCCGATAACCAGCTCGGAACCTCCGGCGCCTCGTTGGAAAACCCAATTCGGTAGAGAGCAGAAACAGGGTCGTCTCCGAACTCCGCCCACGGGTTCCTTCCGGTAGCCATCTCAATCACCGTGCAACCCACCGCCCAAACATCCGCCGCGAAACCCTGCTCCTCCCCCCTCGCCACTTCCGGCGCCATGAACGCCGGCGTGCCGGAAAACCCCACCACACCCTCACCTCCCTCGACGACGAATTTCGAGCACCCGAAATCCCCAATTATGGCTCCTTCCACCTCGTCCACCAGCACGTTCTGGGCCTTGATGTCGCAGTGAACCAAACCCTTCCCGTGCAAGTACTCCAGCCCCTTTAGAACCCGGAGAACCACCGCCCCGATCTCAGCCTCCCCCATCCGGCCTCCCCGGCGGCGAATCACATCGCTCAGCGTCCCGCCGGCGGCGTACTCCATACAGAGGTTGTAGATGGGGGTACGGTTCTCGTCGGAGACTCCCGATCCGACGTACTTGACAATGTAGGGGCAGCTGAGGTTGGAGAGGATGCTCTGCTCCCTCTGCAGGAAGAGAGAGCGGGAGAGCTCGGCGGACTTGAGAGCGAAGAGCTGGCCGGAGGCGGCGGCGGAGGTGGCGAGGGAGACGGTGGCGGTGGATCCCCGGCCGATCACGGGTCCTCGAGACCACTCCATGGGTGAGAGAGGATTTTGGAAGTTGGAATTGGAGAAGAACAGAACGATGGGAGAAGGAAGGAAGACAGGGGAGAAAGGACCGAAGGAGAGCAAAGTAAGGGTTATGAATTATGAAGAGAAGAAAGGGTTAGGAGGAGGGGTGTGTTATATATATACGCAGTTGACTTGCCATTGGTGGTTGCGATTTTTGCGGTTGGTAATTATGAGCAAGGAAAACAAAAACAAACAATTAATAGAGAGGAATTTATTCGTTTTGTTTTTGGGTCGGGCAAAGGCCGCTCTCTCTCTCTCTCTCTCTCTCTGGTTTGTAATTTGTTGGATTTCTCCTGGAAAGTTGGCGAGGCAAAGGAGAAGTAGCCACGTGGAGGGAGAGGAAGAAGGGCAGCCTGCCTGCTGCTGTGACTTCGGCCAATTGGCCTTGGCCTGCCAGCCGGGCGGCCAGGGTTTGATTACAAACTGCTACAACAAGGATGAATGTGTGTGGTATGTTTCACATCATCATTTGTATCTAACTCAATTATTATGGTGAAGTTATGTGTATTTTGTAGTTCGGAAGGAGTTACAATTCACTCAATATTCGATCCGAGCATACAATATTTTCGGGAAAAAAGCTTTTTATTTTTTATTTATGTTTGAGAAATAATTTTCTAAAATTAAAATACGAGAATTATTAAATACGGTTGCAATTTCTTATTTTAAATTCTCCTTCCTCTTAAATTCTTAACTTTTTTTTACTAAAGTGGAGATGCATCATTGAATTGCCATGTGTATACAATACATGTATAACCCAGCGTTTGTAAAATCATATTGTACCGGCGGTCTAAAAGAATAACCTGCTTCTAGAAGTCTAACTAGTAGGTAATTTTTAGTGTTATGGATTGGTTGGATCATGGTACATCACAGTTTCAACATAAAAAAATACTCTACTGCTGAATTTCAAGATAACTTCGGATAGGATTTTACAATCTTGATATAAACTAGAGCTTAGAGGAATAATTAAGATTAAAGGAGGCGTGGTAATGTATTGGAGTAGGGTGGGGCAGGGTGGGTGTTTTTTGAGTGGGCACATGAGGGCATGTGAACACGTGCTTAGGTGGCGTGATTAGTGACTTTGCTTTTGATTGGGCGATGAGGGAGGGGAGGGGATCTGATTAGTTTTTTGAATTTTGAAGTCGGGGGAGGAGGAGATGAATGGAAGGGAAGGGAGAGGGGGAAGGAATATGCGGTGTTTTAGGGAGGGAGTTTGCGGCGGCCGGTGGTGAAATGGAAATCAAGTCGGCGGGCCAATCATTAATCATTAATCATCCTCCTCCACAATTAATTAACTCCACCACCAAACTCCAAAGTATACTATACTCCTCCGCAAGGGCAAGGTCCACCCGCGCTTGCTTGCTAATCAGTTAACTTGGTTTTCCACCTTAATTACCATTCATGCATTTGATTTGCCATACTGAATTAGGATCTAATCTTCTGAATTCCAATGATAAGTTGGTATTTCTTTTTGAGGCGCGGATTGAAAGAGATCATTCAGATATGTATCAGAATCAAATTACCCTAACAAAGTTTAATTCTATATATAAAAAAGGTTGAGAAACAACTCTAGAGGGAGTATGATCTAAACAACAAAACTAAGTTTTTTTTGGGTAGGAAAAATCAAGTTATTCAAGAAACAAGACTTTCACTAAATGATATAGCTACATCATATAGTCAAAAGAATATGTATGTAACAAGAGTTAAACTATAAGTAATTTTGTGTTACATCAAATTCAAGCAAAACAACTCAACAATAGAGCAGATCAAGCAATAAAAGGACTCTTTTATATGTTGATCCCGCTCCAAAACAAATTAAACCGAATCAAATCAGACGAATTTATATTAAATTATCATTTCTTATAACATCTACCTGAATTTTGAAAAAATGATAAAGTCACAAGGAATGTGAAGACATTAAATTCTCCATCCATCCATCCACTCACGATCCACTCCATACTTGAACCTAACTGGAATGGAATCAGTATATCCTGGCTGGGGGTAAAAGAATAGAATAAGGCGGTAGCAAAGAATTAAATGGAAAGTGAATGATTGCATGTCCTGGACTGGACTGGACTGGACCTGAATCAGTAGCTAGTGCACCATGTGTTATATATATATATGCTTTCATTTCCAGCCATGAATTGGTTACATGGTTAAGGATGAACCAATTGTTGTATAGTAAATCGAAAAACAAATATCGTTCATATATATATATCAAACGCAGTGTGAGCCCTTTTTTTCTTTCTGTTCACCAATGTTGATTGGATGCCGGCCGGCTGAAGTCTATGGCCATTACCAATTCGACAGCTCGGAGATGAAAGCTATATATATAATAAACACTGAGTGTTGTTTGCTTTCCCATTTTAGCTAGAGTATTGTTATTGTGGGTAACGTCGTCACTCCCTGACAAGAAAAATCCACCAAATTAGCTTTGAGTTTTATCCACACAACAAGGCACGCTGGCAAAACTAATATCTGTCTTGGGGTAGTTAGTTGCATATGACATTGAATCCACAGGCACAACATATATATGTCCCTCCGCATTATCAGTTTCTAATTGGACATTTTCGATTACTTCGTGTCCTGAAAGTAACATGTATCAGTTCAGTTCTAATTAAATGTGGATGCAGTGCTGTTTAGTAGAAATAAGAGGAAAACTCTTATCAAATGCATAAATTAAGGTTCTCTCATCAGGGGGTCCTTGCTATAATCTTTTTTCTCAGCGAGCACATTCTATTTTTTTTTAATTGTTTTTGCAAAGTCAGGGGTTCAAAAGACAGTCTAACAGGAAAAGCGCGCGAGTCGACCAATAGTCGAACTCTCGATGAGAGGGTCTTTTGTGCCACATGATGGGCAGCCCTATTAAGTCGACGAGACACAAAACAGTACGAAACCCAATGAAAGAGAGAAGCCAAATTTCGAGCATCCTCCAAGATAGCACCACCCCGATCATGAGACAAGTTAGCTCCCATCATTCGCCGAATCAATTGTTGACAATCCCCATAAAATTTGACAAAAAGAAAAAAATGTGTTATGCACCAGTTTATGGCATCACGTAATGCTAAACTTTCCATAATAAAAGGCTCGTATTCCATCAGCGAGTACTTTGCATAAGAAGATTACAACTCCTTTATTTCTCTCCGATTTTTTTTTTTTTGTATTTAGAGATCGGAAACTCTCCTGGTTGGAATATCGCAACTCGCAAGTCGGATTTTTCAGCAAAATTTCGTTCGAGAACGCTAAGAAAAAGCAAAGAATCATTGTGGCCCATAAACCCAAAACGTGCATCCCGTTTCAATTTTTTCATCTTGTGATCGATTCCTTAATTCATAACCAATAATTGCAAGTTTTTTCTGTAACGAACATGGTCATCTAGAGGTGTCACCATCACCGAATTTATGTAATTTTGTGTTTGTTTACGCAATTTTGTGCTTATTAACAACATATTGGTATTTATTCACACAATAATTGTGTTATTCACTCAAGTAGTAATGGTTATTCACGCAGTTTGGTATTTATTCACGCATGTTGTTATTTATTCACGCCATTGTAAAATTAATTTTTGAATATTAAAATATATATAAAAATGAACGTCATTGTGTAGATTATGATTAAGGCAAGTCATTTTCTACAAAATAAATTAAAAATAAAAATTTAACTCCATAAAATGTGGCATACAAAATTTTTTGAGAAAAATGGAGATTTTAGTTGCGTGAACGAACACAACCTTTTTTAAATAAGCACAAACTTACTTAACCATAAATAACATATAAAAAACTCCACAATGAGTGAATTAACTATTGGGTCCTTAGAGACAACAAGCCTTATTCTTCCGTAATTGCCTCAAAATCTCAATCCTTGTTAATTATACTTGCTGAATATGATAATTAAGCACCGTCAGGTAAGTTAGTTCGATCAGATTACTGAATTGCCCGAGGGAGAGAGGCCAAATATTGGACTATAGATTATAGACAACAAATTAAGTACGGTATCTCCAACATGCTATGTGTACTTACTTAGTGGAGCGTACAAAATTATGTCACAGAAACTGTCTCATAACAAGGGAGGTATTCATCGCAGGGCATCTCTCTCTCTCCCACCTTGTTGCCTTTCCCATAAATTTTGTCGCATGGGAAAGCATGCAGTCTAAGTCTGCAGTTACCTGGGAATTAATTGGTTGCTTTGTTTTCTTTTCAATTTTTGTCGCATAGAGAAACTAAATACACATGATTACGGGTGAACTAATTGAGCAATAGGCTATCTTGTTGAGGAACTAATAACTAGATTTAATTGCTTAGGAAGTAGCAACACATAATAACTCACAGTGTGTGTGAAATTGGGCAATTCACTATGGAGCTACTCCAACAGACAAAACTAAACGTGGGTTGCTTGGCGAGGACTCCTTAAATTAAATGTGGACACAGGCAAAGAGTAAGTAGTTTGAAATGCTTTTTTGACTGCATGCATATATATATAGCGTCCTTCCTAACAAAACCACCAAAAAAGGGAAATATTATATATGTGCATGTAATTATTTTCTTTTTTATATATATGGTGTACTTTGTAGTTGTGTTTGGAAGGAATTGACCCATTCCGAAAGCTTTACTTAACAAATGTAAAGTTAACCAACCATTAGTAAGTCAAATGTCACATAGCTTAGCGGTGAAGTCCTTAGTGGATGCGTGTTTCGGGAAGTGGCAGATCTCGTGTTCGACCTCCACTGAGGTCCGCTATGGTGTTCCCGGAGATATTTAATGGGGATCTTAGTGAAGGGCACGAAGTGCTCAAGCAAGTGAACCCCCGAGTTTGGTCTCGCTCCACTCAAATGGTGTGTGAGGATGTTCTTGGATTATAAAAAAAAAAAAAAAAGAGTTACTAGTAAGAATTCGGATAAAGTAATATCATAGAAAAATGATAATACATCCACTATATTAATTCTGAAGATCAATAAAAACAGATCGTTATAT